TTGTATTTTCCACCATGAACTAAAAAGTGAATTACTTCCGCCAACATTCCTTGGGAACCCAGTAGGTACCAGCACTGGGTAAGCCCTTGATATGTTAAAATCAGTTTCAGAATTTTCTGGGCTTTTTGGTGTACAAATAATTCAGGGACATATGTGGATTGACAGTAATTTCCTTTGACCAGTGAGCCAATTCTTGACTGACTATGGCAATAGAAGTGGGTGAGTGAAAATAGCACATAGAAAAGATATACTTATTTATACCTCCTCTGTCCATTGGACATTTTCACATATTCTCCCTTTTCTTCCATTGTAAGCCTATGGCCAGTGTCACCGTTACATTGCAAAATGGTCAACACTCAGTTCTACCTCTCTTTTAACCTATCAACGAGAGAACACAGCCATAAAATTGGGTTAACAAAAATAAATAAATAGTTGAAAGAGAAGGGGCTGAATGAACCACAGATCAAATATTAAGTATTTAGGTATTCGAGAGCAGACATATCTTTAGAACTAGTTCTTTTTGGTGGAATTTCATAACATACAATAATTTTATGTCAGAATTTTGTAGTGTATATCATTGCCAGAAAAAGCCTGGTAAGAAAAGACTGGTTTATAGAAAATGTACTTCGTAAGTTTCTAAATGCCTTGGTAACCAATATAAAACATTGTGGTGTTCACATGCCAAAGAGAGTGTATTTCACTTACATTACTTCAGAAGAGAAGTTTTTCCTATCATTTAAATTATAGTGAGCACATTACACAGTAAAGTATAATTAATTATATCCATATATTCAATTTGTTCCAGATTCTAAATGTCCTTCATATTTTTTGCTCATGTGTATTTTATTTGACCCTCTTTGGGCCTTGAAACAGTAAGAGACTTTAATAACAAACTCATAAAATGCAAGAGCCTTTGAAAAATAATTCCTTAACTCTTCAACTAACTGGCTGGAACGTTAATTTGACTTTTCAGGTTATTACCTTGTGTTATCATTTATAATGTTAACACACTTGGAATTTGGAAATGCTTTAGGGAAAAATACACATCTAATAAACATAGAAAATATCTGAGTACAGGAAAAAAAGTTACTTTATTTTTAAAAATAATAATTTCTTAACAGCTTTGAGCTATTGATGACTCATTAGCTCATGACTTCAAATGAATGATTAATTCACTAACCCTTAGGGTGACTGACTCAAATGAACTAGATAATAAGCACTGTTAGTGCCTACTAAAATGTATTTTAAAATCCACTAAGAATATTTTTTCACTGCCTCAGTTATTAAAAATTATAAGCTTGGTTTTATTCCAAAATTAAGTATAAATGGAATGCCTTTTACTATGCATGTGCTTTTAATAAGTAGGAAAAACATATGGCATTCTCTCCTCCTCTCTTATCTCCCAAATACCACACTCCTTCCTTCCTTCCCCCTTTTTGCCTTCCTTCCTGTACATGTGGTTTATTGAATATGAATGCAAATGTCTTATTTTAGTTCCATACATCTTGCTGAAAGACAACATAATGGTTTGGAAGGGCTTAATGGCACAGTTTTCATAGCAGTGTTAGATAGTTAATACTTTAAAACAAGAGAAATCAAAGTAAAATATGAAAAATTCCCATTCTAAGCTTGGTGCTGTCTCCAATAGCAGTCCCAAGTATAACCTTAACCCCAACCCAACAAGATGTGTGGGACATTTCAACACTATGCTTCCTTCCAGAAATTGTAGATACTTCCCTCTTTACCAGTCCTAAGAAACCCCAAATCTAATCAACAGATTTTGTGCATATGTGTTTTTTAAAATTTGGTTTGATTCTAACTGAGGCAAATACTAGGAATCAACAGTCCTGAATTCAGGTCTTGACTCTGCTGACTTTGGTGCTGCACTAGGTGTCAGCCTTAATGTCCTCTTTCTTCCAAATTCCAGGTATTTCTGTTTCTATTAGCAAATTATTCCATCTTTTGTACTATACTGTGGCCTTGTCCACATTACAAACAGTTGAGCTGTGCATATAACTCTACACTTAATTTGTAGAGTACACATGCTCCTGGGGACAGAACATATACTGTTTGGTAATGAGAAAGACTAAAAAATTATTGCAAGTCTCACACTTTTAAATTGTGAATTAATAAGGGAGAAGACCAAAAAAAGAGTGATATTTTTCCTCTGTTATTTTTGTAATAAAGCAATTGATGAACCAGCCAGAAATAAAGGATTACAATAAGAAGAGAATAGCCCAAGCTGAAGATTCTGCCCAGTTTGCTGAAAACTGCCTTGATGTGAGAATAACAAGATACTATGAGTAGATGTAGTTGCTATGTTTTTTGTTTTTTGTTTGTTTTTTTTTTTTTTTTTTTTTGAGACAGAATCTTGTTCTGTCACCCAGGCTTCAGCACGGTGGCACAATCTCGGTTCACTGCAACCTCCACCTCCTGAGTTCAAGCAAGCATATCAAGCTAATTTTTGTATTTTTAGTAAATATGGGGTTACACCATGTTGGCCAGGCTTGTCTTGAACTCCTGACCTCAAGCGATCTACCTGCCTGGGATCCCAATGTCCTGGGATTACAGGTGTGAGCCACCCTGCCTGGCTGAGGTTTCTTATATCCTCTTTATTACTTCCTTTTTCTTATACACTGACAGTAAGAGAGGAAATAAAAATGTAGTTTACCTAAAATGTATCTCAAGAACAGGAATAGATCTGCTGATATATGAGAGTTGAACTACTTCATTTTGTCACTTTAATGAGCCCTGTTCTTGGGCAGGCATTATTTTTAAATTATTATTCGTTATGAAGTGAAGTGTTCCCCCACCTCCAATTGCTATGTTGAACTAACCCCCAGTACTTAAGAATGTGACTGTATTTGGAGATAGGGCCTTTAATGAGGATATTAAGTTAAAATAAGGCTGTCATGATGGGCCCTAATGCAGTCTTACTGGTATCCTAATAAGAACAGGAAATTTGGAATATACAGTCACCAGGGATATACGAAACCACATGAGAGCACATTGGCAAGCCAAGGGGAGAAGCCTTAAGAGAAATCAAAGCCACCAACACATTTTCCTAGACTTGCAGCCTCCAGAATTATGAGAACATACATTTTATTGCTTAAGCCACCCAGTTTGTGGTATTTTATTATACCAGCCCTAGAAAACTAACTGGCTATCTTAAGACGGCATCAACTATTAAGTAAAAGGCACTTCAATGAAGTGGGCCTTTTTTATCTTATGCCATCATCCTGGGAAAAAACAGCATATAGAGAGAAATCAATGAGTTATGTCAGTGTGAAAACACCTCACAAAGGACTTTAATCATCAAATGGGAGATTAAAGACAAAGGCCTTCAATAATCCAATAACAACATTATATACACTGAAAGCTTGATATAAGGTCTAAAATAGGATTACATATAGGGTCAAGGAAGGGTGACAGAGCAATCTGTCGAAAGTAAGAGACTGGATAACCAAAGGACCAGTTCCTACTTAGAGAAGAAGCGATTAAGATCTCTGAACAACCTGAATACCACAGTAGGCGGATGTATGTCAGTGGTGAGCCAGCACTCTAAAATTTAAAATGTTATAGGAAAATTATTGATAGACTACTGGACCTTTTTCTTTTTTATAGATTTTACTTATTTTAGTTATCTGTGGCAAATATAAAAGCTGACTGCTAAACAAGTAACTCAAAATTTAGTAAATCGTAAAGAGCCACTATAGTATCCATTTTGATACACACTTGTGTTAAACAATGTTTTTCATTTTATATTGCCATTGTTTCTTTGAAGATTATACAGGTGGAAATATGTATGTAAGCCTGAAAGCTTTACATGGATGCCAGGTCTTCTGGCTCCAAAATCCACACGTCCCACTGCTCTGCTCTCTTGCAGGTCCTCCCCTCATACTTTGAGAAGCAACCTGCTACAGTGAGGCCGGGACAGGCTGTGGATCTCCATCTGAGAGCATCGAGAACGCTGGACCTTTAGAGTTAGAAAGAACTTTATAGTTCTTACTCATCTCACTTCACAGGTGAGGAATTCAAAGCTTGACATTTAAAAAGTAATTGAAATAGAGGGATTAAGTGACTGGCTCAAGGCTACATGGCCAGGGTGGCAATGGCACTGAGGGTGTATTGCACCCTTCTCACCTACTCTACACTAAGAACCTTTACTCACCTCTCCACATCCCCATGTTATGGGCTAACTTGTGTCCCCCTAAAATTCATATGTTGAAGTCCCAACTCTCTTACCCTCAGAATAACCATATTTGGAGATTTAAAGAGGTAATTAAGGTAATTAAGATTGAACAAGGTTTCTATAGTGTGCAGTTGTAATCTATTATGGCTGGCATATTTTCTAAATAATTTTTAATATTCATAAAAGCCTAATGGAAAGACACAAAATATGGTCTAACTAGAATTCCAGGTTTCATTGCTTTTAGGTAGAATTATACCAATGTGGTGACATCAGCTATCTCATATGCATCTGAAACTTTTAATTAGCAATATACATCTTTAATTTAAAATGAGAAAATTATGTATCATTTAAAAAGTTGATTTGCTTGATAAATTAAAAACTCAGGCTTTTTGATGAAGATTGAGCAGGAACCACTACTTTAAGCCTCCAGTTCCTTTATGTGGATCATCTAAGACCCATGATGTTTAATCTTCTTCAAATTTCTAGAGTTCTTTCAGGGATGAACTGAACAAATTATATGGCTTCAGTCATCTGTCACATCAGGGGTGTTGAGAGCCACTGTTTTCAAATCTCAGTGCTACTGAGAAATACAGCTTGCTAGATGCTGTGTTTGGTTATTTTCCTGAGAAAAAATGAAACTTTAAGTGAAAACAATCCCAAGATAACATTAAAAAACAGCCTAAATAGGGGGATAGACCTAGCTCTTTAACTTAATAGAAGCAAAACTTAAAAGCCAAGATACTCAGTACATGTACTAGGGTATCAAGTGCCCACAGTAGAACATATCTGAAAGTGTGAAAAACAGTACTTTAAGCAGAAATGTACATTTTATTTAAAAAGCAGTAGCAAAGGTGTGAAGAACAGAAACTTCTATTAATAACAGAAGTTTATTAAATGCTTTATAGTAAAATATTGAGCCCACTCTGTTACAATACACAGGCTTAATGTTCTAACAAGCAAAACTGTGTCTCAATTGAGGGAAGCTTGTGATGCAAACGCAATGTGGAATTTTGGGGAGCAACACAAATGGATCCTCCTTCTGCTCTTCCATAACCGCAACACTGATGTTCAGAAGTGCTTAGGTATTGGGAGAAACCTGTAGAATTTCCTGAGTATTCTATTCAACAGTTCTTACAATTATGTTACCTTAAAGGAAAACATGAAAATTTTCTGATGGAAACATCCATTTTAATATTTATCATCTTCAGTAACTAAGAAACACAATCCTAAAAATGTATTATACCATAAGAAAGTCTTTGGAGTTATCATAAGGCTTTCCAGCACAAGGTAAACTTCAAGGCAATTTATCAAGAACTAAATGTTTTTGAATTACCAAGCTAGTGGCATGTGAAGGTGAAATGTCAAGGTTAGCCGATTGTTTTCCAAATACCAGGATCTAAAACATATTGGGGGAAAATAGGATGTGGGAATGAGGGACTATTGGAAGTAACAGATGGCTAGAAAAAAGTACTGAGACTAGTTAGCATTAACTAGCATGTAATGTATCTTCATTCATTAGTCAACATTCCGTTCATGTGTATAATTATTTCAGGATAGTATTTCTACAAAGTATATTGGTTTATCAAGTCAGCTTGTGAATTTTGATTCTGAATACCTAAAGTTATAGCCACTATAATTGCATTTTGATATTTATCCATAAGAATGTCTGGCATTGTCAGTGATGGCTCTTGGATACATTGTTTCTTGATATAACATCACTGAAAACAGAACTGATGTTGAAAAAATACTACCTATCTAAAACTCAGGATTCACAATAAACTTAACCAATTCACATCATTGAGCTCACACTGAAACTAGATCTCTTTCATTTTAAATAACTTAACCAAATCCTAAAAAGAACAATTATTCAGAAAATCACAGCCTAAGGTTTGCACTCATAGTCATCCATAATACATATTGAGTATTGGGACTGAATTTGTACTCCTGGTCCGCACTTTGGTACCCTATGTTTTCCATATTGGACATTTCATTTTATAAACAGGGCAATTAATTAAAAGTAAAGAAAATAAGTAAGTTTTAATTTGGATGCAAGTATTTTGCATTCATATTACTAAAAGAGATCATGCTTTCAAAGGAAGAGAAAATAAAATCATATGTGATTAATATAGAGTACTGCAGTCACAAGTAACCCAAACATACAACCATCTTCATTACAGAACTAAGCAGCCAATTCTAATACACTACAAACCATTTGATTAAAAAGGCTTACAGCCAATGCTTTAAGAAGGAAACACCAGTGAAAATATTTTTAAATATATACCCTTGTAAAACGATATATTCCTTTAACACTAAAATCTTGTTTCAGAAGTTCCCCGCTTTAGGTTGTTACTCAAAAACTCATCATGTTCAAAACTTAAATTATTGTGAGATCTTGAAATCATAAGAAGCTTCTCCTTATTGGTAAAGTCTTTTTTGATGGCAACTTGGGGCACAAGCAACCTATCCATTGGGTCCTCTTTGTTCTCTAGTTTCATGTACCCCTTGCTGTTGTTCCGATCCAACCTAGGCCAACTTGGATGTTTCCGTTGTTCTGCCTGAACAGTTAGAGTGGAGGGACCCCGGTCTAAGTCTAAGGACTTTGAGTGTGATGACAGCAAATGCAAGGACGTATTGGACCCAAACTGTCTTCTAGCAGCCCCAGGAGACAAGAGCTGTCCAGGCCCAGGCCCGAGAGCCATAGATGACTTGTACTGACTCGACAATGACTCCCCGATGGAATTATTCCTTGGTAGCACTGTGCTGACAGGCTGGAAGGAATCACTGGTGTTGGGCAAAGGAACCACAAGGGAATCCATTGACAAATTCCTTGACCTGCTTTTGAGGTTGTCAGCATCTTCAGTGATGTTATCTATACTGGGCTCATCAATAACACAGTTATTAAGTTTGATCACAGGCAATGTAAAAGCACTGATGGATGATGACACAATTGACTTGGTTTCGCATTTCTTAGAGCTGCTGGTCTTATCATCAGATGTCTTGGAAGGAGGTGGATAGAGGCCAAAGACAGAGACAGAGCTGTCAGAGAGCAATGGGGGCATAAGATGCCCAGAACTCTTACTTTCATTTAACATAAGTTCATCCTCCTCCACGGAGCTGTCCATTCGAAAACTGTTCCGAAAACCCGAGAAAGAGGCGATCGTATTTGCTGCCAATCTGGAGGCACAAGAGCTCCCATTCTGTTTTACTTCTGTTTCTCCCATCAAGCCAGTGTACATGCCGTTCATTTGCCTTTGCTCCTTGATTCTTAGCGTGTGAATGTCAATGACTGTAGAATAGATATCCCTCATGTGTATGATTTTGGTCTCTTTGTCACGGTTTTCGTGAAGAATGGCATTAGCACAAATGAAAATGAAAATGCCAATCCCCATGGTGAATGGACCAAGCATTTTCATCTTATCAGAATGCAAATGCTGCTCGAAGAAGCGAACCACCACACCGCCCTCATTCCGAATGACCTGAGTTTCATTTGTTGACAGTGTTGTTTCGGCATCAATAAAATGTTCTTTTTGGGGCCAATATCCAAGAACGGCCATGGCAATTCCTATAATGGAGATGAGCACTCCTAAAATAAGAAAAAATCCAGATGGGGAATAAAGCCGGATTTTACCACGAACAACCACAACCTCTGCCCGGGGCCGGCGCCTGACAGGTTTCTTCTCTTGGGTAGCAGGAGATGGACTGAGGTTGACATGCTGCTGTGATCTGGCGGAGTCTTGCCTTTTCAAGGCGGCCAGGCCGGTTATCACTCCACCAGTTGCTATCATAGCTTGGCCTTTTATTCTGGCAGAAAAAAAAAAAGGAAAAAGATGATCTAAATATGTTCTTGGGGTATCAGCATCAATTCAATTAAACAACTGTTTACATAGAATTTTTGTTGCTGTTACAGTTTCATGTGATTAAATGGGGTAGAATATCTTTAATTGACATAGTTTTGGTACAAATTTTATTTATTGACTAATGTAAATTTCTTGAGATTTCTTTTTTGGCTAAGTGACTATTTCTGTTTTTTTTTCAGTTACATTTCTATGAATAAAATGTGAGCTCGAGGAATATTTTGTTTAAATAATTTTATCACCTATAAAATAGTCCCCTGGCCACAAGACTGATGCACTGTCTCTCTCTCACACACACACAGTTATCTGTGCTATTTTAAATCACTGAACAAACACTCCAGACTGACAAAGAGGATACATTCCAGCAATTCATGGTTCTAAGACCTCTCTAGTGAAAGTCATCAATGAATTCTTAGCTACCACATTTAATTTCTCTCTCTCAATTTTCATCTTCCTTATCTCTCTGTTTCCGTAGATATTACCGGCCCCTTCCTTCTCCACACTCTGTCTTCCCTAGTCTTTTATGATGTGAAGTTCTCCTACTTCTGCTCTGACCTCACTATTTCAATAGACTCACCTTAAAGTAGAACTTCTCCCTAGAGTCTTGTCCTTGGCCATCTTCTCTTCCATACTCTCCCTTGGCATTCATATCTGTTCCTACATCTTCCACTATTTCCTTTATGCTAATGAGTCCCAAGTCTATATTCCAGGTCATATCCTGACTTTCAATTTCACACCTTCCACTGCCCGTTAGGGAACATACACACATCATGTACTGCTAGCGAAGCTGAACTTACCTTCTAGCACACACCAGCTGCAGCACTTGACTTGTCTGACTTTTTTTAGCAGGGTTAGTTCTCAGGTTTGGCTCTTTACAGTTATCTTCCTCTTCCAATCAGGTTCTAAATCCTAGAAATTTCCATTACATGATGTCTTTTAATTTCGCCCCCCATTCTAATCCTACTCTTCCCAGCCTTGTGCAGATCTTATTACCTTTTACTAGACCATTATTATAAACCCCTAGCTGGTCTTCCAAACAATTTCTCTTCCTTTACAATCAAGATTAATCATCTCCAAAGTTTGTTTAAAGAGCAGAATAATGACAAAATATTCTCCACTACCTACCAAAGCTTAAGCTGAAATTCTAGATCCACTGACTTTAACTTTGTCTCTAACTTTTCTCTTTAAAACTAAAATCTAACCAATGTTCTGTATTTCTCATTCATATTCCATTTTGTATAATTTCTGGGATTTTTGTTAACAATGTTCCAGCTGTCCAGAATCCACCACCTCCCCACCCTTGGTCTTCACATATGGACAACTGGCTAGGCATCAAAGCTCATATTCCATTTTCCTTATAAAGTTTTCTCTAGCTGACCCACTGCACCCCATGCAAGCACATTTATTCCTCAGATCACTTTATAATGGCAGGTTTTCTATGGTACTCATAATATAATATCACAGTTCTTCTACTTCTTATGATCAAACATCAAATTTAATTCTTATTTTTATTACCAGAAACATTCACTGTAGTGGCTTCACATGGCCAGTGTTCAAGAAATATTTGCTAAAATGCTGAATAAGGGACAAATGACTACCATATTATTGTACTAACTTTCCTAGTTGAAAATATGAACAAACTATCCAAACAAAAGTCAACATTTGGTAAAATAGCTGTCCTGATTTATAATAAATGGTTCTCATGCTGCCATATCTAGCTGGTAGGAAACAAGAAGATATTTTAAGTCCCACAGGTCTTTGGCAAATTTCAGAGAGAGTTTCTTCAGGGCATCAAATCTCATCTTGCAGCACTGAGCTCTCCTTTTGAATTTCTATTTATGATTTCTAAATTGTGTTTAAATAACAGGGTTGTGGTTGGTATCTACAGTTTCAACAAGCCAGTGAGTAAATCCAGTCTTCAGTTAAATTATAACTAGGATTAAAATAGTTTTATATTGGAAGAACAAACTAAATTGTAATCTGTTGCTCTAGTCTATGAAATTTATCAAAGTATACATACTACAGATTAGAACCTTCCCAAACCTTTGCTAAAATAAAGCTTAGTGTCAACCTATCTCTTCTTGAACCAAAAGCCATTTCAAATGTTTCAATTAAATGCTTAGATTAGATAGCAGCCATCTAGTCCAGTTATTTCCATATGGCGGGCTTAAGGATTTAGTCTGAAATCCTTCTGAGTAGAATAGAAACAAGGGCAAAAGCCTTTCATTTAATTTAAAAGCAATAAAAGTGAATTACATTCCATACAGATTTCTAGTCCTCTCCCACTTTTTAAAACATTAGCACTACCATTTTCTGTTCAGGAGGCTGATAGAGGAAAGGAAGTTAGAAGAGAAAAGATATTTTAAGAAACATATATGAGGAAGGAAAGGTGAAAAAGAGGGATGGATGACTGAGCTTGCATGTGAAGAAAAGTGAGACAGGAAGAAAAAGCAAGGGTAGCTTTAAAGTATGAAAATTTATAGAAACAAAAAGAGGCAAAAATTCCGGAGTAGTTCAGAAATAAAGAATATAATGGATGGGGGGATCTCAGTTTCTTCAGCCATTCTCCTGTTCAGGCCCAAAGATTAGCAAAATCAAGTTTGGTGCCAATGTCCCTTAATTCTGTTCAAGGCAATTCAATACTACACGAGGCTCTATTATGACTCGCGGTCCCAATCCAGACCCCGAGAGGAAAGCAAAGGTGAGAAAATTCAAACATGGTTTCAAAGAGCTTGAAACCTAATGAAGGAGCTAACAGATCCACATAAAACAGAATGAGATAACTCCTAGAATGAAAGTTTCCATTAGGGAAGAATCTTTCAATAGGCTTCACACAGGAGATAGCACATAGATCACAGTCAAAAATCAGTTTAGCAGCATTTCAGGAAGGTCAAGGGAAAGAAAGCAGGCTAGGGAACAGGACCTTGGCCAGCACACAACTCAGTGCTACAGGAGGTCAACTAGGTAAGTAAGGTCAGGGGAAGAGGGAGGGTCAAGTCTTGGGAGTTTGCAAATGCTAATCCTAAATGCTGCAATTTTATACACATCTGCCATGGAGTTGGAGTAACACATAAATAATGCTGTTGTTATTTTAGAAAAATTAGTAGATGAAGGCAGGAACGGGGGACAAATACTGGGAAATGGCATGAGGATGCTAAAGGCAGTTTCACAATAAGAAGCCTAGTGAAGGCTGGGTACAGTGGCTCACACCTAGTACTCTAGCACTTTGGGAAGCCAGGTGGGAGCATCACTTGTGGCCAGCAGTTCAAGACCAGCATTGACAACTTAGCAAGTTAGCCGGGCATGGTTGCACATGCCTGTAGTCTCAGCTACTGAGGAGGTTAAGGCAGGAGGATCAATTGAGCCCAGGAGCTGGAGGCTGCAGTGAATTATGATCATGCCATTGCACTTCAGCCTGGGTGATACAGCAGCCTGGCTCTCTGAAAAGAGAGAGAGAGAGAGAGAGAGAGAGAGAGAGAGAGAGAGAGAAAGAAATTGAGGATTTCTGGCAAGATGGCCAAAGAGGAACAGCTCTGGTGCGCAGCACCCAGTGAGAACGATGCAGAAGGTGGGTGATCTCCACATTTCCAATTGAGGTACCCAGTTCATCTCATTGGGACTGGTTGGACACTGGCTGCAGCCCAAGGAGGGCGAGCCAAAGCTGACTAGGGGTCACCTCACCCAGGAAGTGCAAGGGGCCGGGGAACTCCTTGCCTAGTCAAGGGAAGCCATTATGGATTTTTCCCAGCACTCTGGCTCAGATACTGTGCTTTTCCCACAGTCTTCACAACCCGCAGAACAGGAGATTCCCTTCAGTGCTACAACATGAGCACTCCAGGTTTCTAGCATAAAACTGGGTGGCCGTTTGGGAAGACACCAAGCTAGGTGTCTAAGGGGATCCAGAGAGAAAGGTTGGGTTACCCACAAACGAAAGCCCATCAGACTCATGGCGGATCTCTTGGCAGAAACCCTACAAGCCAGAAGAGAGTGGGGGCCAATATTCAACATCCTTAAAGAAAAGGATTTTCAACCCAGAATTTCATATCCAACCAAACTAAGCTTCATAAGCAAAGGAGAAATAAAATCCTTTACAGACAAGCAACTACTGAGAGATTTTTGTCACCACCATGCCTGTCTTACAAGAGCTCCTGAAGGAAGCACTAAACATGGAAAGAAACAGCCAGTACCAGCCACTGCAAAATCATACCAAATTGTAAATACCATGGACACTATGAAGAAACTGGAGCAACTAATGGGCAAAACAACCAAATAGCATCAAAACGGCAGGATCAAATTCACATATAACACTAATAACCTTAAATGTAAATGGGCTAAATGCCCCAATCAAAAGACACAGACTGGCAAATTGGATAAAGAGTCAAGACCCATCAGTGTGCTACATTTAGGAAACCCATCTTATGTTCAAAGACACACATAGGCTCAAAATAAATGGATGGAGGAAGATTCACCAAAAAAATGGAAAACAAACAAACAAAAAACAAGGGTTGCAATCCTACTCTCTGACAAACACACTTTAAACCAACAAAGATCAAAAGAGACAAAGAAGGGCATTACACAATGGCAAAGGAATCAATGAAACAAGAAGAGCTAACTATCCTAAATATATATGCACCCAATACAGGGGTACCCAGATATATAAAGCAAGTTCTTAATGACCTACAAAATAGTAGATCAATGAGACAGAAAATTAACAAAGATATCCAGGACTTGAACTGAGCTATGGACCAAACAGACCTAATAGACATCTACAAAACTCTCCATCCCAAATCCACAGAATATATATTCTTCTCAGCACTACATCACACTTATTCTAAAAATTGACCACATAATTAGAAGTAAAACACTCCTCAGCAAATGCAAAAGAATGGAAATTGTAACAGTCTCTCAGACCACAATGCAATCAAATTAGAACTCAGGATTATGAAA